AAGACTGTAGCGAGAGAGGTAGACGAGACGGCGGCCAACGTGGTCGTGTCTTCTCTCGCCACTTTATTCCACGCCTGAAGCGGAGCCGCGGTGGCTGTCCACGTCCGACACACCAAGTGCGCTAGCTTGTTCTAATCCTCGCGCCGCTCGAGCTAGCATCAGCTGCGCGAGAGGCGCGGCGCGGTGATTGAGAAATGATGATGGTGATGATGGCACCACAGCGTTCCCCCCCTAGCGCTTTGCGCGATGTGAAGGCATATGAAAAAAAGAAAGATAGTGACAAAAGCTATATACATGAATGACAATCCATAAAGTGTTCATTTGGAAAGTCCAGGTTGTCAACGTTGATGGGCCATCGGTAAGCAGCGGGTCTCTGGCGGGCGACACTGGGAATGGCGCAGCGGACGAGGGTGGCTACGCAGGCACGCTGTTGGAAGGAGCGGGCGAGAGTCGTGATGAAGGGACACTTTTGTCGATAGCGAGTACCAACGACAAGGCGAAAAATGCTCAAGGGCCGAGAACACACACGGGCCGTTTCGGTGCGGTCGATTGTCGCGCGCACTCGGACACTGATGCTTAAAAGATGGACTGTAGCATGAGCGTAGTACGACCAGTCCAGAGGGTCTAGTGTTAATTCCTTGTTGGAGCTGGTGGGAACGTCGACAGGGAGTGCGGTCAACCCTGGTAGTGTGTTTACCGTGCTGGTACCGTCGCTTCCGGTGGCACATTGCCGCCTGGTCGGCCGAGTAGGGTGCAGATAAGTTAGAAACGGTGCGCTTTGGACCGATGAAGTGCGACATGGTTACAGTGATAACGAGCCGGCTCATAGGGCACTGATAGATTGCTTTTTCCGACCTTTGACGACGTGTAACGCATAGGCGTACGCCGATGAGTCGTCGCGTTGTTCGAGCTAGAACCGACGTTTGGTGATGCGAGATCGAGCGGCGGGTATGTGGCGTCACAGTTGTCATGGGCCGTAGACGGCGTTGAAATGCTCAAGCACGCGTACGTAGTAGTAGGCGGATGGTTTAACTGCGCATCTGTTTGGGGCATGCACGGTGTGCTCCACCTGTGGTGAGCCAGGCGTGCGGCCCTCGGGATTTCCTGACATCGTCACATCATCATGCACGTTCAGCCGTGCATGCTCAGAAGCTTGAACTTCTGTAGGATACATCGAGGATGATTTTAGTAGGTGCTGGCAGTCCATGATGTTTTGAGCAGCAGGTACCGGTGTGCAGGGGAACTGATGGCGTGCAGTGTCACAGTCGGCTCTGGGTCCATAGTGTGAGTGGTGTCGCGGGCCTCCAGAGGTGCCGGGACAGGCGGGGAGTCTGCAGGAAGGTCAGCTGGCCCAGCTGAGGTCGTCGAATCGCCAGGGACAGACAGTTCAGCCAACCAAGTCTCTGTAGCGAATGCGACGGTGCACGGGGCAGCGGCCGATGTCGAATCTATGTGGCCAGTTGCCGGCAGGGGAATGGTCTGGACTGGCTGTGGGGCGAGAGGCGTCCTGGAAGGTGATGAGCCAGGTGCAGTTGTGTCATTTTTGGGAGGAGGAGCATGTTTAAGGCCGTAAAACTTGAGCACGGCATCTCGCAAGTGATCGTACGGGCGAGGGCTCCAGGAGAAGTATGTGAGGTGGTGTTTGAGGTCATGTGGAAGATGGTATTCCAATACCTCATACATGAGCTCTTGGATCCAGATGCGGTTGTGATACAAGGCCGCCGCAAACTCCTCGAACCACGACTCTAGGCGAGAGGTCCGGAACGGGGGCAATTGCGGGTCGAATTGAGGCTGCCAGGCTTGTGATGACTGGAGCATGGCCGCGTAGCTCGGTGGCAGTAGTGCAGCGCCGGTCGCTTGTTCGTGTGTCCGTGGTCACCAATGTAGCGAGAGAGGTAGACGAGACGGCGGCCAACGTGGTCGTGTCTTTTCTCGCCACTTTATTCCACGCCTGAAGCGGAGCCGCGGTGGCTGTCCACGTCCGACACACCAAGTGCGCTAGCTTGTTCTAATCCTCGCGCAGCTCGAGCTAGCATCAGATGCGCGAGAGGCGCGGCGCGGTGATTGAGAAATGATGATGGTGATGATGGCACCACAGGACCTTCTAAGTATAGGAGTTTTACCTCATCTTCGGTGAGCAGTTTCATTTCTCGCACCTTGCTTGTTGTAAAGGCTTAGTTCATGAAGTAGACGTCAGCTTAACTCTAGCGGAAATTTTGGATCATTTCTCAGAGGCAGATGTGGTATCCGTCTATCGTAGCAACAGGCTTGTCAATAACGTGAGGGTTCCTTCCGAGGCGGTTATCGTCACAATTGCTGGAACATCGCGTCCTTCAGAGATCATGACCTGGCCTTTAATCTATCGTGTTTAACCGCTTGTCCTACGCCCTCTTCTATGTGGTAAATGCTGGAGGTATCGACATAGCATAAACGGTTGTCACTCTAATGTCCGATGTCGCATCTGTAAGGCCGATCATAAGGCTAACGACTGCAAGTCTAATAAGGAGTCGTGCTGCTTTTGTCAAACTAATTGCAAAGCCTACCATTCTGACTGTCCTGCTAGCTTTGAGAAACTGCAATTTATTGACATATTCGAAAGAAGGCGTTGCTACGGCAGGGTAGTTCTGGCAGAAGTACAGAGCAGGACTCAAGGATACGCAGGAGTTACAGCGCGACTGGCTGTCGGTATGGATGCGGCTATGGCTCAGTGAAATCCTTCACTCACGGAGAGAGCAGTAGAAAATTCCCTTGAAACACTGCTTCTTAACAAATCTGAGAGCATGCCTCAAGTTATTCCTTCACAGCTATATCGTATATCGGAGTAACTATCCAAAAGCGTGCAAAACTTTATCCGTCTAAATAATTCATCCCTTGGATCTCAGTCGGATGATCATAATGATAAGGAGATAAGGAGACTTTATCCTTCAACAATCTCCAGATGTTATAGTATTGCAAGGACCTTGGTTATCGTCTGAAAAAGTTTTTACTTACAAAAGTGTAAATGTTTTCGTTTGATAGCAAAACACGAGGAGCAGGAGTAGCATTTTGTATGTTATCCAAACTTTGGCACAGAGTGAACGTTGTCTTCCGGGCAATATCATCTGATTAAGAAGTTCTAGTAGTGGAACTTGTACTTCAAGGCGGCTGCGTGTCATTTATATTCGTGAACAGCTACTTTCCGACTGGAGTAAACAAGGAAAGTATTCTGGACTCCATTCAGATTTTCTGCAGTTATTTATGGCCGATATTACCTCACTTCACGTAACATGTGGATTTCGTATAGACGCATCTGGCGAAACTCTGAGAAACTGAATTAGTAAAAACGGCTATGCATGTATAAATTCTAAGGAACCCTCATTTATTCGAGTTAAGGCCAAATCTGCGTTAGACTTGTCATTTGATAGCTCTTCTAGCCTTCCATTTCTTCTCGGGCAGTGGTTGATACCACCACTAATAGTGATCACTACCCAATATAGATTGACGTCAAATACTCCTTAGTCACATTGGATCATCAGACTCAATCTTTTGTAAAAAAATTAAAAAATGTATGCAGTCAGCTTTGGCTTCTTGTAATAACTCCGAAAGCAACATTAAAGCCATGAGTATGTGTTGGGTAATAAAATGCTCTATGAAAAACTCACAATTCTCCATAGACTCTGTAAAAGGGAAACATGTAAGTGTCTGGTGGAATTCTAATTGTGAACGTGAGTGCAGGCGCAGCAAAGCTGCATGAAAAAAACTCAATACCAGTGCCCTACTAATTGGAGCAATTATAAGTACCCCAAAGCTATGCTTAAAAGAAGTGTTTCTATGGTGAAATCTTAACACGAGGAAAACCTGTATGAATTTCTTTTTAAAAGCAGAAAGAAAAAGTCTCTCTATAGATTTCTTAGATCTAATAAAATTGTTCCTTCATCCATCAACATAGAGTCCGTTGTGCTGACCTCTGAAGAATTGGCTGATTTACTAAATGGTATGACAGTGAGTTTACAAAACCGCTTTACATCTGAAACACAAGTATTCTTTCCCAAACTTTCCTGTGAGACTAATTTCGGAAGAGTAGCTATAGACGAACGTTATCAGGTTGTCCGGTCTCTCCCCAATTCAGCTCTTAGTTCAGAGGGCATTGCAACATGTATGTTAAATATGCTATTTGAAGAGTCCCCTCAGGATCTCCGTAATCTCGTTTGCCACAGCAACAGGAGCGTCTGCGTAGCACTTTGTAAATTTCTCAGAGACACAAGAAAGTTTGCTTGTTAAACTTCTCTTTTGTTTACTTTTTTACCTAATGAAATTCTAGTTCTTTAAAAGTACCATCAATTTATTCCTTTCAATAATTAGTGAGTTACTTACTTTATTCGTAAGTCACCCCATAGTTATCCGCTCTTCCGACTCAGTAATTATTTCTTCCTCTTCAAAATTTACCAATTTGTTTTCCCAATTACAATAACCGCCGGTTTAATAGCCAATCCCCTATAGTGGGTACGAGTCCAAGCATATAAGGACCAGCAAGTAAGCAAAGCAAAGAGCGCATTTTGATACGTAGAGGTGGCCCACCGAAGAGCTCACTTCTACCGGCGTATCGAGTCGGCGGGTGGCCCGGCACGAACAAACTTGTGTGCACTGCTCGATATTGCGAGTTTTGCTTGAGCCTTGTTCCTCTCTGCTATAGGAGAAAAATTATTTCTGAGGCAGCCCAGCAGTTTGTTTCCGATATCTGTTGCTGGAAATTGTGTGATTGGGAAACTCGTGGCGAAAGTGCCTTGAGGTCAGGGAGTGTTATTGGGTCATAGCTTCTTCTTGTGCTCTATTCAACGCGTATTTTTCAGTAGCCGCTATTCCAGTGAAAAGAACACACTGCATTATGATGTGTTTCACTAGGTTTATTCGACAGGTAACTTGGATAAAAACTTGAGGACAGCATGGTGAGATGATATGTTAGCTGTGGCCGTGGTAGCACCACAGTGCTTCAGTTTAGAGATTTGAAGGTTTTTGTACTCTCACGCAGCCTGCACAAGCCATGCCAGAGCAACGACGCCGAAAGCGCCAACCGTTTGCGAAGTCGAAGCCGCACTAGGCGGAGCTGACGTGGTTGGAGGCACCCCGGTTGTATGAGTCACAGGCTCGTGGGTCGGTGTAGTGACAGGCTGTTCGGTTGTGGGTGTGATGGGCCTGTGTGTTGTGGAGGCGGTGACAGTTGAGGGCTCCGAGGTTGTCGTTGTCGGCGGGGGATGCTTCGGAACCTTGAACAGGTCGTTGATGGCAGTGGCCAATTCTTTCATGTACTTCGAGAGGGTAACCGCTTTCGCAATAAGGCAGGGTCTTAATGCGTATTCGAGGCAATCGCTGAGATTCTTGGCAGCCCTGCGTAGAGGATGTTTGTAAGATTGCATTATCGTAAGTCTCCAATGATGTGGTAAAATTTCTCCTAAGTGAAATGTGACCAACCGGTACAATGAACTATCAACATAAAGAATGGCCCTCTTATATTGCTCAACAAAATTACGCAATTTGAGCTTCAAAATGAACATCAATCCTGTGAATATTATGACTAACATAGACTGTCTGAATAATTGCATGCATCAGCTTCGACTAAAACACATTCAGGTGTTGAAAACCGCTAATCAATCAAATTACTATAGCAAAAGGAATCGAAATTGTGTATCAATGAAGTCTTCTGACACATTTCTACAAAATATCAGTTGCACAATTTGTTCTAATAGAGGGACTGTCGAACGCCAGTAAAGTTACGGGCTCACTTTTGTTTGTTCGTTCATTGGGTTGTTTGACTGATTGTTTACTTTATTATTTATTTATTTTATTTATTATTTATTTATTTATTTATTTATCGATTGATTGTGTTTTTCATTTCTCTCTTCATCGATTTTTTTACTGAGTGATGACAACAGGTGATTTTTGTGTTGATATATAAAGAATAACGACCGGTTTGTAACAGTCGTGCTCCATGTATTGCTCATTTTATATTTATGCAGCAGAGCTTTAATCAATCAAGCAAAGTCAGGCTTTAAAGTACACCACAAATAAGAAAAGTTGTGCAGAATGTCACCACTAGAGGCGATTCTGCTAAACCGCCTAATAAGGCACTCAAGCAAGTGATGCAACGCTTTGAGAGGGAGCTCCAAAATATTGCGACATATAAAAAAAGCTTTGAGGAAACCATTTTAATGCTGCTACACTGTCGTTACATGACACATGACGATATCTAAAGGTATCCTTAAGGGCCAAGTCGTTGCAGATATCACATGATCTAGGAGCGCTAAAGAAGTGGCATGTGTGAGAGAAAGTTAGTTACCGTCGGTCGAATCCCTCTCACGTCCCGACTTTGTTTGATATTGTTTAATTGAGTGTGTGTTAAGCTGCGCTCCTAAATCATGTTGGGTAACTGAATTTACCATGAATCGCGCAAAACACGGAGTCACAACAGTCTTCAGTTTCCCTTCGGTACTCTGACGAACACCACCTCCAATTCGTTCTCCAGACATGACTAATTCAAGAATATTTACTTTTTGTTCTTCAGTGTTCCTCTCCCATAAAAAGGGGGGGCGTAACTGAGCTGGTAAGCTTCATTTCAGGTGTCTGGAAGCCCATAGAATAAAGAACGTCATTGGTGACCCGGCTTGGTTAAGGTCTTTTACAGTAAAGGTTAACATCTCTAACACCACGGGAACGATGAGTAGTACGTGGATTCATCTAATATTCATTGCTTGCGGTTTCAAACGCGGTTGTCACTTCATTTATTAATTGCTTCGTTCATAACCTCGTCGTTCGACAATGTGACTCTAGGCTCTATGGGGGCCCAAGAGAAGAAATCTGAATATGACGCTGGCGGAAACGTCACACGTTGCAACTCCAATATACTCAAGCACCATAATGCGCTCTAACGTATTTTGTAGGAAACTCTAGGAAACTCTAAGCCTGTAACCCTTCCCATTGACGTGTCAAATGCATTCTGCTTTCACATTACAGATGGAAAAATATCAATTGTTTGAGATTGCCCTGTATTTTTTTTGGCAAGCGGAACGGAATAAAACTTACATTTCGTTCTTCTCAGCGTTCTCGATAGAGTAGTCGAGGCTTGAGAACCCAGCGTTGCAGTTGCTCATGTTCTCTTTGCGGATGCAGAATTCTAGCTTCTTCACACCTGCAGCAGTTGTCACGAAAGAGCCGTATAAACGTGGATTTCGCACATTATGATTCCCGAAAGCTGGTTACGCAGGTACTCATAAGGTTAGCACGCAAACCACACGCTGATGATGAGCGATCGAATCTTATATCACGTCTAGGAATCTAGACACAAAAATTCAACCAGCTCGGCTTCGTGGACACTGATGAAACACCAATGTTGGTGGCCTTCCCTTCAGGAGGTAATCACATTTGAACGTTTTTCGAGTATTTCAGATAGTTTGTGTCACTGCTCTTTATCAAACACAATTTGTTAAGCTTTAGGGTGGGAGTGAAACCATCAGCTTCTAAAACAACAAATTATAATGGTACAGTGGCGTCACTGTAATAACGGGCACACCATTTGTCGGGCTGTTACCTTACTCCCCTTCAGTGCAAGCCCTGGGCAGTGCGTTTTTCCCTAATTCCTGATTATGATAGTTTTCTGATGTACCACTCAGGTTACTGCGGCATGTAGCTGTTTGCTGGGCAAATTTCGCCTTGAGTCTTTGTGTGCTATTGGTGTTTAATTGTCTTAGCCAACTTCGGTGGCGCATATACCTGTCTACTATGGCTATCTGTTTTACCGCACTCCCCGGACATGGCGAACTCACATACGAACAAAGCCGCGGTTGAAATTTGCGAGAATGTTTAGCTTCACCATGGAGAGCAAAACGCGACAGCGTAATCAGACTATGTTCGCATCGCTTTCTCAATTCTTAGCCCGACTTCTTTTCTCAGTTGGTACATCAGCTGTGTCACAAGAAACAACACGTCTGTGCTCGACTGAGTATGCCGTTTCCAACTATTCTAGGACGATTGCTCCCAGCAAAGTTGTTAGTTGCGCACTAATCCGTAACTCGGTATTTAGCCATTTAGAAAATCGCCCACAATGCGTCCGTAAGTCAACACCAACACACCCGCTCATCTGGCCACACTGTTCATGCCGTAGCGGATTATGATGACTAAATAAGCTTAAGCGCTTTGCAATGGGTGGAATTTTAAACCACTCACTCACTGCGGAACTTACATGTTTGACCCAGGTGAAATTCTACGCTTCTGCAACGCACTATTACATGTGTTAATGCCAGTTATCGTGTCACAAAGCCTTTGCCTTCTCGTGAACTCAAGTCTGCTTAAAAGGCTGGTGCTTACACTGGCTTCTCACCACATGTACAGCCTAAAGCTACCACTCATTCCTGATTTTGACTATAGTGTTCCTGGCAGTACATACATGTTCGAGCAGTGGCAGTTCTTGCCGACGTCGCTCATTTCATTTGTATGTGCGGCCATGCACAACACGCCTGCTTTGTTGTCAACGAAATTGCAGCTTGCCTGTTCAGGCAGTTTTAATTGCTGCGCTGACGCAAGGCTCACATCCCCATTACATTGTTGGGTTTCGTCTCTATCGGTTTGATCAAAAATTTCAATCTCTGCAGCTACACTTGTTACAGTCAACCAAAAACAAGAATGATATGTCCTTTGTTCATCAGGGGCTTGCAAGACCTGTTTTGTCCACTTAAAAGGGGGGCCAAAATCAGAATGTGCGACTGTCCCAACCTCGGAGATGCATTTCTGGGAGATGCACTTATCGGAGATCAATGCGTTAAAAATGGGACCTTTTCAAACTTTTTAGCCGACGAATTGTATTCGTACATCAAAGGTTCAAAAATTGATTCTGCCCGTTTTAGGTACAATAATAAGTAATGTATACAGAATGTTTATATCATTCCTTGGTTAATTGCATGTGGCTATATCCCTATTGCTTCGCCTTATTCGATAAAAATACCAGAATGTGACCTAAACTAGCAATGTGCTTTTGCAGATGGCAAACTAAACGCCACAAACACAACCAAACTTGGCGAAATGTCAGCATCAATCTATTTCTCTGTTCTCGTGAATTTATACGAAAAGTTCCTAAAGGGAAACTTCCTTCAAGTGTAATAGCCAGTACTCTCAAGCGTTGCACTGACCTTCGCACATCGTCTTGTTGAGAAGAAGGAAGCGCAGCGAAGCGTATCCTTTCTCCTTGTGTTTGAAAAGTTCCCGTTCGGGTGCTTTGCAAGCGCTGTAGTATTCCTCGCACACAGAATCTTCGGGAAGTTCTTCCTCTCTGCAAGAAAAAAAAATGAGATGTACCAGAAGACTTCCATTACTCGTTTTTATACTCGCTACAGGTTATAGATAGTGAAAGCAAGAAGAGGAAAGGCAGGGGGGTGAATCAGACGATCGTCTGGTTTCCTGCCCCGCTCAAGAGATAAGAGAATTGCAATTCAAAAGGCCAAAAAGGAGAAAGAGTCGAGGAGACCAGTGCACATACAGAGGAGTACAGAGCTTCTCGCCTGGGGTCAGAGCTTCTCTGACCTTCATGACTTCAGCGTTCTCACATACGACTTGGTAATTGCGGCCACCGAGACACCTGAGGGTGAGCCAACGGTATTACTGAAGTGCTGGCAACACTTAATTAACAAGCTCCGGCAGTCTCAGAGCAGTTCAGGCTGTCGCACATTTTAACATATTCAAAGGCATTATATAATAACGAAAATAAAATGTTAGAAAACACAATTACACAAACGACCTAGTGAAACAGCATATAACACTGTGTGTCGTAATTGTTTTCTATTATTTAAACTAAGTGGCCATGAAGAGTCTTGTTATAGCCTGCTGTCATAACGCTTACTATAACCATATTATTCCTTGGCAATATCACAATTCTCAGAGATGGTACTGATAATTACGATATCAATTACAGCAAGTAGACCCTCGGTGGAATTCTGCCATTGTCTTTGGCTTGGTTTGGTCTGGTTTAAAAAAATGTTACCAGGCCGAATAGGAACAACAGAAACAACTGCAAGACACTCGCAGTGCGTCCCCAATTTTGGCAAGGCTATGAGTTTCGTAATGTTCCCCTGGACCAGGGCCACATCATAACAGGCTTGAAACCTGTGCAGAGATCCCACTTGCCTACGTGCATAGAAGAGTGTCGACCTACAGGTAGTATATGGCAAGCAAAGTCAGTTACTACGCAGCATATTACATACCATGTTGGAAATAAACTAATAATGGCGAAGGGAGATGGTCCACGTTTTCCTCAAATTGCTGTTATTTTTAGTGCTGAGAGCGAGGTTCTGTCGTTGTTGGACCAAATAAACTTGCCGAGTTCAGGAGACATAGATACATATTCGAAGTGCCTAAAGGCCACGCCGCTTACGCAGCAAAGCCAGGGGCTGAGGTAATACCTGAGTGCCTTTATCTATACTTCGGAGGGAAAGTAGTACCAAGTGGTAAGTGGTGTTATCTAACTAAAAATGCTTGCTTGACTTTATGTCACAACTGTTTTGTAAATAGAACGCTTGACAATTTCTTGTGTGCATATTCATTTTTACATCAAGTTTTGTTTCTACGTAGGCGAAACCGACACAATTGCATAATACCCCTCCCTATTTTTATATTACCATGCTGTGCTTCTAAATCAATATGTGCGCTGTGTTTTCATTTGTAGACCAGTGTCTGGTGTTATATTTTCCTACGTGTATCTTGCATTAATAAACAGTCAAAAATCGGTTCGCTCTCTTCATATTAGAATCATTCTTCATTAGGCACTTTATTAAAGTTGTTGCAGATATTGCTCCCAACTTTGGCATATTCAAATTATTTTATTAGGATTAGTCTCCTAATTGTATGAAGGCAGATGAAACACATCTTTCCAGGAGTCGTTTTCAAACACTTTAAATATTCTTTTTTGTCTGATAATTACTACAAATCTAATAAAAGCAAAGAAAAACATAGCCCCCTATGGTTATGTTATCTCAGGAATGTATATTGCATAACCCGTTTTTAGAATCTCAATAACTGCTTGCTATTTATCGTATGTACTGGATTTAAATGACAGTAATGGCGGTCACTTTGTTACTTTAGACTGGCCAGAATCAGGGTGTGTCGAGGCAGATTCTGCCAAGGATAATTGAGAAGTGCCTAAAAATACACTATTGAACCACTAATTCTGCGTACGACGTGATGCGTTTGCGTTTCTTTAAATAAATACGCAGAAAATACTCTTCCGCCTTCCTGCAGCCAGAAGTGTTCGCAGTGGCTATCCCTCAAGTCTATGCTATACAGCAGTATAAAAGGTGGCAATAGTCTTCAGCGTCCGCGACGAAAGAAACTGTTAAGCATCTAACCTCAGAGGCAAGGCGATGTGTTTCTGCGTGTCGGAAGACTTTCTGCTTTCCACAAACTACAGCCGCTTCGCGGTTTCATCAAGGTTTGTCACTTCTCTGTCTGGCATAACAAAGTATTGATATGTGGGGTTTAACGTCCCAAAACCAACATTTGATTATGAGAGACGCCGTAGTGGAGGGCTCCGGAAATTTCGACCCCTGGGGTTCTTTAACGTGCACCCAAATCTGAGCACACGGGCCTACAACATTTCCGCCTCCATCAGGAAATGCAGCCGCCGCAGCCTGGATTTGAACCCGCGACCTGCGGGTCAGCAGCCGAGTACCTTAGCCACTAGACTACCGCGGCGGGGCAAGGCATAACAGAGTAGCTGGCGGGTTCGTGCCATTGATATAGTAATAGCTCCTTAGTTCGAGTTTCACGGGACTGGAAAATGTCTATGTTAACAGAATTCTGAATTACTGATGAATCAATAAGAACAATTAAAGCGTGTGTATTACATCTATGCATTTCTATTTCTTGGTGAATACGAGTGCAGAACTATTCTGCATAGCAGAAGCGGGAAATGAGCAGTTTTTGTAATTCGTGGCTTAGTTCACAACATAACAGGTGTTCGAACCATCTTGAGGGTCTTGCACGTGACCTTCTTTTTTGCTATGAGCAATGACCCAAAACTGATCCTTCGTTTGTGACGGTGTAGCAAACCAGTTTATAACAGCACACGGACCGTAGCTCGAGCTCTTCAGCTTCAACACGTCACACACCTGCCATGCTTCGTGCCAGGTGCATCGATCGCCTAAATGAACTGGGTCGCGGCAAAACATCTCACCGAATTGACGAGAATTCTGTGCCATTATTAAAAATTGGCACGTACTGTGGGAATAGAAAACATGCAAAGCACAAACTAGGAAGGTGGATATGTACTTAAAAGTAAGCCCTAAATTATGCCGTACCTGACTTCCATGCCATGATGATTGTGTTTGCATGAGTCACTTACCTTCATCGCCTATTCACGTCAAGTGGTCCTAAATTTAGTATCACGTGACGTGATAAAATGTGGAGCTAGCGAATGACCGTGAGCACGCTATGAGCGTAGCATATAGTCATACCTTAAATCACACGCATGTCATGACTATCATCTCTAGATGCGTCATTTAAGGCACCATTACAACTTCGACGTGACCCGGCGCGCGTGCGCGCCTGCTTTCGTTTTGTCGTATCATGCCGCAGATGGCACTCCAGGCGCCGATCTGCTTGCCATATACTCGCCGGAGCACGCAGCACTGCGGGGTGTTAAGTTTGGCCCGAAATTTGTCTGGGAAGACGCCATTGTGCGTAAGCCGGTCTACTGGGGAGGCTCTCAATCCCTTCGGCGCCCAGTCTGCCAGACGCTGTCGAAGATTTGAGCCATTACCCAGACAATGTGGCAGACAAAGGCGAGTTCCCGACTTTCAAATGCGGACCCTTTCGCCGTCCCTTCAAGCAGCAGCGGTGCCTGATGACCTCGGTGATTCAATTTGCGAACCGGCGTTCTTTCTACTTTTGGCCCGGCTGCTCGCACGCATGCAAACCGGCTTTGATGCCGATCCAGAACTCCTAGTCCTACTTGCTACGCTAAAAGATTTTGTGCCTTCTTTTACCCGCGTAGTACTTTTTGTCTCTCTCGCGGCTTTCCGACGTCTCTTGCGTATGCACCGCTTCTTGCGACTCGTCTCTGAGCCTACTGCTCGCAGCTCAAGGTCGCTAACACTCTCACTGAACTCGTCAGCTGTCGACGCCGCGCCGTCTAAATGATTTTCAAAAAAATCAACTATTTCACACTCTAGACTGGCGGACAGCTTGACGCTCTTAGGAACAGTGCAGCTGCTTCCTTTCGAAAAATCTCGCTCGCCTTGCTGGGAGCTGCCTACAACCGCACTGTTCTTCTCACTCTCTGCTTTCGCTGCTTTTCCTGAGATTTCTCCGGTGTTCTTGACTACTTCCACATTGTCTGCAAGATCAAACGTCACGACAAATACAGTTGAGGTCTGTACCAGCCTGTCTACCGCTATTCTAGCTGTCTCGCTAGTATTAAACTGGCACAGCACCTCGTCGCATTCGCTCTGAACTATGTAACGTTCAACCACCACGCTCGTGGTTTGGGAAACCCCTAACCTTTCTTTGCTGTAAATATGTGTAAATAGTGCCATAAACCTGTTTGTTTTCGTATCCTGCAGCGACCTTCCTTCCGACCCTTAACACGGGCTATAACGCATGAGCGTTTGAGCGTGACCAGCATCCCTCTACAACACAGGAGGCGTTGCCCTACGTCACGAAGAGAGGAAGACGCGGTGCTGTCTAGGTAACGTCGTCGGCACGAAATGATTTCGCGCTGGTTGCCGCCGGAACGCACCGACGGACGCTGGTTGCACCAATCGCGCCTGGCGTCAGACTATAACGGCCAAACCTCATATGCGCGAAAATGCACGCGACAGCGACAAGCGACGCGACGTAGATCGGCTTCGCGCGATCAGTCGCTAGCGCAGGCAAACCTCATTCACGCGACGGCTTCGGCGAGCGAATTCCACTGTTGCTGGCATGAGGCCGTCTACTCGCACCAAGAAAACCGCGTAGCGAGCGGTATGCAATTTAAAAATAAGATATATTGTTGTGTATTGAAACGGAAAGTGTTTATTATTGCCTTGCAGCACTTTTTTATATGCACATGCGTAATAAACATTGCGTTATTTCTTGTTGCGCATACGTGACTCGGGCAGGGTCACGTGCACCTATGTAGTCTTTGTCTTTTCCGGTATTTCGCTATTGGCTGCTTGAGCCCAGCACTTCCGGGCGATGAGCAACGGTTTCCAAATCTGGAGAACCGAGCGATCGCGCGAAAACGAGCACGCGACACGTCACGCGAACGCCCTGTTTCGTCGCTCATAGCGTCGCTCGTCGCTGTCGCGTGCATTTTCGCGCTTATGAGGTTTGGCCCTAATATATGGTGCTCGCATTTTGTTAGCGTAGCGTCGCAGCACCCAGCGTGCACGTGCGTCAACGTTATGTCGGGGTATATTGTGCCCTTTACGTTCGTCGTGTATTAACGTCATGTGATACCAAATTTGGTATATGTGGAGCTAGCGAAACGGACGCGAGCACGCCGTGAGCGTAGCATGTAGCGATGTTTTACATCACGCTCATGTCAATATTATCATGTTTGGACGTGTCATTTCCCTTCGTCGTCTCCTCGCGTCACTTATTGCCGAATTTTGTATATGTCGAGCTGGCGAAATGGCCGCGAGCACGCTATGCCAGTAGCATAAAATTATGTTTTACAAGACACGCATATCATGATTATCATGTTTGGACGTGTCATTGTTTTAGTCGTCCATTCACGTAACCTAATACCACAATTGGTATATGTGAAGCTAGCGAAAGGGTCGGAAGCCCATCGTGAGCGTGGTATGTTCTCATGTTCTCACATGACACTCACATCATGATTATCATGTTTGTGGCCAGTCATATACCTTCGTCATCCATTGACGTCACGTAAGACCAAATTCGATATATGTGAATCTAGGGAAATGACCGCGATTGCACCATGAGCGTGGCAGTGTACTCATTACTCATAACATCAAAATCATGACATGCATGTCATCATTTCCACGTTAGGGTCTGTCACTTATGATTGCCATGAAGTCATGTCATACTATTCAACTTTCTGCATATTCTCATGTAAACTAAACCACCGCAAGAGCAGCAAGACCATGCAATGTAAATCATCATAATCACGAAACACGTGTCATGATTTTCATGTAATGACTAGTAAATTATATTTGTCATACAGGTATGTTACCCAATACCAATGTTGTTATTGGTACCATTATCGAGACGGCCAGAAGAGCTAGATAGATAGATAGATAGATAGATAGATAGATAGATAGATAGATAGATAGATAGATAGATAGATAGATAGATAGATAGATAGATAGATAGATAGATAGATAGATAGATAGATAGATAGATAGATAGATAGATAGATAGATAGATAGATAGATAGATAGATAGATAGATAGATAGATAGATAGATAGATAGATAGATAGATAGATAGATAGATAGATAGATAGATAGATAGATAGATAGATAGATAGATAGATAGATAGATAGATAGATAGATAGATAGATAGATAGATAGATAGATAGATAGATAGATAGATAGATAGATAGATAGATAGATAGATAGATAGATAGATAGATAGATAGATAGATAGATAGATAGATAGATAGATAGATAGATAGATAGATAGATAGATACGCTCAAAGTTGCTCAGGTTCACTAAAAAGGCTTCGCATTAAAAAGGTTTTACCAGGACGAGAAAATACATCCGTCCGAATGATTCTAATGACCAGGGTCACGTTCACAAGCATTTGCTTATGGCCAATGAAATCTGATGATGACATTTTACGCATTTTTTCAAATATCTAAAAACTGTTTGTGCTATAAATAATAATGGCCTTCAACTTTTCTATACCATTCAATGGAAACAAAAACACTGCCGGTCCGTGTGATCACATTTGGGTGCTTTTTAACGATCCCTACGTGATCGAAATTTGCGTAGCCCTCTACTACGGCGTCTCTCATATTCATATGGTGGTTTTGGTACTTTAAACCCCGCCCCGTCACGGTGGTCTAGTGGCTAATGTACTCGGCTTCTGACTCGCAGGCCGCGGGATTGAATCCCAGCTGCGGCGGCTGCATTTTCGATGAAGGCGGAAATGTGGGCCCGTGTGCTCAAATTTAGGTGAACGTTAAAGAACCCCAGGTGGTTGGAATTTCCGGAGCCCTCCATTACGGCGTCTCTCATATTCATATGGTGATTTTGGTACTTTAAACGCCACGTATCAATCAACCTTTTTATACAAGCAAATGCCTTAAAGTTGAAAAATAAAATGCTCATTTACGCGTTTTTTTTTCTAATTGTTACTTCGATGTAGCAGCCGCAAAGTGTGTCCTACTCGAAAAAAGAACATGTGCAACGAACACAGCTCCTTCGCTGTCAGCATTTCATTATTTTTTTTTGTTTTAGGTCTCTAAGCTCAATTTCTTTAAATTTACCTATCACTCCTTCGCCTGTATATAGAAAGTCAATTATTTTGTCCAAGAGCGCCGAACACAATATTGTGGCTCCCCCCAGGAAAAAAGTGGGTAAACGGCTGCCACAAAAAGAGTAAGACAGTCATGGCTCTCGTTTGACTCCCGTTTTTTTTTAATAGAGTACTTTGGCTTACAGGTTCATGCTCATGATCATGTCTTAATCAATAATAGTTGAACATGTCGCTCGTATTTAAGTTGTAGTTTCATCAGAGTGTTTGATGCTGAAACCGTAGATTGCATGAAGGTCACTTCGCTCGCTCTAGTACTTCGGTGTGTTAAAGGCGTGAGTTGCTATAGTCTTTCTTATTATGACATACTAGTTTGCTGCTAAAACATTCATTAATTCGCCTCTGTGCTGAAACTGGGCTTTTTTCAAGCACGCAGAGAACAAAAAACTCAGCGCTCTCACCTCGCACCTGTACTAAAGGGGCGCGGCAATGCGCTTGTCAGGTGATCAGAGAAACACATTATCACCATGATAGCTTTGAAAAGCTTGTTTCGTGACAATGTGGTGCCGCCATCACTGTAGATGGCTATGAATGTGAACAAAAAATCAACCTTGTTTGTCGCCTACCAATTGCTATCGATGCAAATAACGACAATTTGTCATGGTTCAATGGAATGAAATTCACTTTGTCTAGTAAGAGATTCCCTTTTGCTTGCTTTTAAAAAAGTACGAGGGCATTATTTTGCTTAGATTTCATCTAAGTAAGTATCTTCGTTTAGGCAAGGTTGATGAGAAGTCTATACACTTCAATCTCGCACAACAACAAGTGAACTAACGTGCTGAACACAAAAGAAAACGTAGCCGCTGCCTATTTCAGGCTAGGCACGAACTGTATTTAGCTTCGATGCAGTCAGCACCTCTTGCGGCTGCGGTACATGAGAACCATTTGCAGTCGTGGACGCCGCGATTAGCCCGACAGCTTGGCGCACTGCCCGAACTGAGCACGTTTTAGCCACTGTTCGTTCTCGCAAACGCGCCGCAGTAGCATTTCGCTGAAGTGGTTTCGCCGGCGTTGATCTTGGCTGAGCTCGAAGAACACGCTCATGCATAGAGGCAATTTACAGGTGTTTTACGCAACAATAAATGCATGAAAGTGAACTAAAGAGTATCAATATCAATAGATATGTGTATTTCATGAGCAATACAATCTGTCGGCAGGTTTTGGGCCGCCCAACCTTCAAATTAAGCAAGAAGAGTGTCTTGCACTCGCCGCCTTGGCGCTAAGTGTCGATGGCAAGTACTCCGTACAGAAATGGTCAGTGACATGACTGAGGAAGGCATTTTCATCTTAACGCAATGAATAGAGCGTCGGACACGTCATTAGAAGGTTTATGTTGGGATCGCGCGAACGGAGACTGTGCCACTTCATGCACTCTGGTTCATTTCAGCTTACGTCTTAATTACTATAGTCTAGAGCACAAAATCGCTGTTTAGATTTTTCATAACAGGCTTCTACTTTTCCTCTCCCAGACGCTTTTTTTATGTTTTACATGTGAAGGTCCTTATAGTCGATCTCACTCCTGTGTGAGGCGCGACCACCATTGCTGCGCATCATCATTCCCTCCCCCTCTGCTTTCACAAGTCTAGTAATCGTCATTACGCCCATGCGTCGAAGCATGGCAGTGACGGAAGCACAAGTATGATGTCAACTCTATCACTAAATCTTTCTTTACTGTATATTCGAACCGTTTTACACCTATTTCGCTAGCTAATTCATGTCCAAATGATTTTTTCTATCTAAATGAGCCAATTACAAACTCTACTCCACAATACTACCGGTATTTCGCTATGTAGATTTTAGCCATAATATAAATTTGTGGTATTTAGTGATGATGAACATTCCGGAAAAAATTTGTTCGAGCAGGCCCAACCATATTGTCAGTAGAAAAAAAGTGTTTTTCTCAGTATCAGTTACAGTGCATTTGCTTTTTTGAGAAAAAAAAAACGCCTAATATAAAACCTATACTTACGAGCGGCACACGTCATCTGGGTAGTTTTTTGCAGACGCTTTTGGAACCAAGATATCGACACCATGAGCCTTGGCCTGAGACCAGTAGCAGGTTGTAGCCTTAATCACGTCGCACTTCTCATCCACATCGTCGATGCACAGCGCTATAAGGAAAAGTGTGAAAACAAAACAAAGCGAGGACTTAATGCTTCATCTGACAACAGTAATTAAGAGGCATCGTACACATGCTGCACACTTGTGGTGATTGTTATGCGCGACAAGTGCTGATATTATCACTAGGTGAATACGCTTGCTTTGTGCGCTGTGTAAAGACATCATACCTCTTTCATGCGCTTCTTTTTCTTCACAGCCGCTGTTGTCCATAATGATATTCTTGATTCATGCACTCAAACGTCTGAGTAAGCAACTTTGAACTGTTTATGGTCTCTTTATGAGCGCATTGAATGGCCATTTCCATAACCTTTCAAAGGTTCGAAGTCTCGAGCTTACAAAATGAAGTGAAGACATACGCAGCATGAATGCAATGAGCGGTTTTATTTAAGCCAAGGTCACTTTTTTTCGGCAGTCATTGATGTGCCTGACTTGTGCTCACACAGTACATTTTTGAAAAAAGTGTTACTAAAACTTGTTTCTATAGTGACCTTTCACTTCACCGCCAAAACGTTGGACTGCTCAGCGAAGAGTCTGGCGAAGTGAAGCAGCTTCAAGCGCCCAAAGTCAGAACGCATCATTGACCCTAGAAAATATTTGGTTACGCCAATTTTTAGAAACAAATCATGCATAATGACTTCATGTTCGTCTGCCTTACTTTCGGCGGCACAAACCATAAAGAACCTGTATTACAGAATTCAACTGTGGGTTTTCCCTGCGCGCATACGGGAGAAAACAGTTTTAAATGCGGAGCAACTCTTAGACGCACCCTGTCACTCGTCGTTGGCGTCCACACCCCCACTGCGCATGCTCGGCTCGTCTCTCCTCTTCATTCCTCTCTGCCCTTTCATCCCCTCTTCCTTCCCCTCTTTCGCTTGACTTCGCGCTTTGTTTGACTTTAGTAAATGCGATGAAAGCAACAGATGCCAACAGATGGCAACTGCTCATGAACGCGAGCGTGCTGCGAAAGGGGCGGGGCGAGCCAAGCAGTTTGTGCTGCCGGCTACTCCTTTGATACGACACTTCCAATATCACAGCTTCGAACACAGCTGGGAGGTATGCGACTGACTGCGCTTCGACAACGACCTTACACTGGTTGGGAGCATCAAGAACAAAACGAAGCAGACCAACACGCTGTGGGTTCTTCCGAGCACGTTTATCAACGTTGATTTGAAGGGGACAGCGTCAACGACAACGTTAACAGCGGCAACGATGACGACGAGAGACTGCTAGAGCCATTCAAGTCGCACTTGGTGTGCGCATCATGTAAGGACTTGTTTGTACGTGGTCACACACCATCGATGAGCGTGACCAACGGTTACCGCTACCCGCCTCGACCCGCACACCTAACAGAGATGAGCGCTATCCGGTGGGTCCCAAACCATGCCCAATCATGCAACATTCACGAGTTAAACCCACCACTTTGATAAGCATTTACTCGAGTTCCCCCTATGGTAAAATGCGGGCGGCCTTTTTTTCTTCTCCCAGCAATAATAACAAAGGCTAAGAAAAGCGGTCGATGTGTGAGCAGAAATGTGCCAACCGGAGCCCTCTCCTGCATACAGCCGCTAGTGTGGGACACAAAGGTCATCGTCTTCCCGGCTGCGCCACACACTGCGTGTAACGTGACTATCTGCAGGGCGACCGACCGGTACAGTCAAGCCGGCCGAATATTCCTTTGAAATTTTTGATCTGATTTCGTCGCGCTAGAAGTGTAGAGTGAGAACAAGTGCTACGTGAAGTACGTCGTGATGAATTTGGCAAGAGAAGACTAATGTAATAGCTGCTGGGGTTTAACCCTTTCACACATCAAGTACAGTACCGTGTACACGAGTTGTTCTTGCTATTTGAAAGAAGCAGGGCGAAAGAAATGGCGAGAAATGTCGAGGTTTGAAATAACTGAACCTTCTAACAACTGAACTTGTTTCATTTCCCTTCATTTTGTAGTGTACCGCTGTATAAAATCACTTTTCTGGGGGCACTATCACATTGGATGAATCGTTCGACATGCCGCTTCCTGCAGTTCCTATGTGAAGAGTACAATTTTTCTGTGCTATCTGTTATCAAGAACCCTAATGTCGGGGATCAACTGTATGCTGGCAAGAGGGCCCACTATGCGGCGGTCAAGCTTGGGCTGACTGTCCCAACTTGAGAGTGGCCCGCCGCGCGTTGAGTCGTGCACCTCAGAACTTACAGTAAAGTTTCGCATCCATCCATTCATTTCTCAAAATTCACATACCGAAAATATAATCTGCACTGTATTTCTAGCCGCAGATTACATTTGATTTATACCAGAACTGAGCATCAATGACGTAAGAAGAGAAGAAGCAGATAAATAATGCAACAGGTCAATATTGTTTTTGTGACATTTACTGAGTATTTTGATATTTTGTTCTATCGAATTCACAAATTTACAGACAGTTCTTTATAGGTAGCGTCTGAAAGGGTTAACCTCTCAAAACTACAATATGGTTATGAAAAACGCAACCGCCACAGTGAATCGGTGGTTGCGGTGTCCTGCTAATGTCGCGGGTTTGATACCAGCCCCAGTAGTCTAGCCAACTAGCCCTAAGCGAAATAGCGTTCTGAGACGCTAAACCCCGACTGGTTATCAGGACGTCGCCTTACTTTTTTATTGGTGAAAGATGTTTCGCCAACTAGTCCAAGCGACATAACTATCTGCTGCAGCCCCGCCACAGTCGCGTGGTGGATAAGGTGCTCAGCTGCAGACCTGCAGGTCGCGGGATCTGATCTTGCCTGCGGCGGCTGCATTTTCGACGGATGCGAAAATGCTGTAAGCCCATATGCTCAGATTTGGATGCCCGTTGAAGAAACCCAGGTGGTCGAAATTTTCTGAGCCCGTCACTACGCTGTCTCTCATCATATTCAGTTCTCTTCAGTTTGTTATATTGAAGACCCCTAGAGGGTATTACATAATGAGTGGTGAACGAAGAAAAAATACAAAGTGTCATTTACAGAAGTTTATACAAAGCAAAAAACTTGGTATTCTAAAGTGTTATTGATACACCCCTGTAACCTTTATTACTCACTGTTAGCTTCAATATCATGCACCAGAGGCTTTAGATACAGAGACGGGCAGGTTGTAGAGGCCTCAGGAAGTCCGTTTAATTCTGAGGCAGTTCGAAAAACAATGGGTATGAAAAAGTGGTGGTTCATGCACGTGGACGTGACACTTGGTGCGAGTGACCTAGGTAGCTAGATGTGCGCTCTGCGTTTGAATTGTAAGGTGATTAAAGAGGGATGAAAAATAACTTGTTGTATAGAGTGATAGGCTGGCGAAACAGCAACGATGGGTGAGAGGTGAAAGATTGCTTTGTGGTTTCAGTGACGTGACACTAATTTTAAGGTAATACGCGGAATCAATAAATCTGGCCGCTCGATCTGGAACCGCATCTAATGCTACGGTGAGATATGCCTAATGTGGATGCCAGACACATGACGCGTATTCAAGCTTTCGCTGAACAAGTGTTTGATAAGTGATTACTTTTACGTGCTGTGAAGTATGGCGGAGGTTACGTTTTATGAAATTGAATATTTTGTTAGAGGCTGATGTGATATTAGTGACGTGGGTGCGCCAGGATAAGTCACTGCATACAAAAGGTGAATTTGAGATGTTAAACGCCACGTATCAATCATTATCAATCAAACCATCTGCTACAACAAAAGGGTCCGCTTTGTTAAGACGATCGAGCTGTCCTTGCAGGTAACCGGATACGGCTTGAAGGCAGGTGCCTCACTCAGAAACTACGGCTCGTAAGGTATGTCGAACTTCTGTGTCTTGACTGTGTAGAATATGTCAAGGGTCACCGAATTGGAGTTGTTTCAACAGTCAACAATAAGGTGGGAAATGCCAGCGCAGTGGTGCAAAAACGGGCTCAAATAGAGTTTATCGGTGAAACATTCACGCTCCATAAGGCGCACGAATATATTTGTCTTGTGCCGTTGGTGTTGCCTGAAGCACACCGTTCACGTGCGGATATGTTTACAATGTCAGTAGTGGGGATATGTCAGTAGTGGGGATGCGTATACTCGCGACTCGGGGAGCATCCAAATGCTCTGAGGGGTAGTGTTTCCTAGATGCACTTGGCAATGCATTTCTGAGATTGCGGATGCACCACAGAATTTTCTCGATCGAGTATTCTTTCCCGCCACCATGATCAATCGACACGTGAAATCATAGAGGCCCACAGAATGCAGAGGTCAGAGCATGGCTGCGTCAGTCAGTCTTCAATCACCATACAGAATAAAGAACTTTGCTTGCGGTATTCTAATAATTAGCTCCGTTAATATTAGTTTCCTTGTATCTAGTCATGTGTCGTCATAAGTCTGTCTGGACTTGTATGCGTGTGCGCAGTAATATTACGTTACTATGTTCATTCAATAAAAATTTTCTGTTGAAAGGAAGCGCTCTGGTGGTGTTTACTTTCAGTCCTTTTTATTTTGCACTGTTTTGTATATACCAGCAATGCCTCTGTACAGTGTTTGCTAAATACTATTTTTTTTTTCAATTGTAGACGCCGTGAGATTTGTGCGAATTAGCTCTTACAAGCAAATGTTAAGCCTGGCAATCGAGGCTAGTCAGGGGCGCAATTCCCGCGTCGAGTCTACCACGATATCTTGCCACGTGTTTAGTGCTTCCTGACGGGGGCCGATTCCACCGACCTATATCTGTTATCATTTTATCAGTGCTGCTCAATGCGCCGCTGTGCAATCGGAAAAGAAACGTTAGGAATGTTATCGTCGGCCTGATAGTCAGACGGTCGCCTATGCACTATCAGATTCTACACACGCCAGGAACGCTGTTGTACAATCGGAGCACATGACGCCAGCTCTATCTACGTATCGATCCAACGTGGTGGCTGAGTGCTATCGTGTGCTGCTGGTAACCATGAGGTTGAGCACTTCCTTTCTGAGCAATGCAGCCATAATCACAGAGCATAACAATTTAAAGGCAACCAGCTACAAGGATTCA